GGAGGTTGTTCCAGAGGGCGGGTGCCACCACAAAGAAGGCTCTCCCCCTGGGGGTCGCCAGCCGACACTGTCTGGCGGACAGCAGTTCCTGCCTGCACAAAGGTGCACAACCCCTGCCTTACAGTGTGATTCTGTCCATGTGTGCTCCTAAATAAGCACTACACAGGTGGACTTATTTCTCGAAAAAAAATTCAAGGGATGCAGTTACAGTTGCCAAGGACTGCACCATAATGTAACTGTTACAAAAACCAAATAGGGAGTTCACTCTGTAGTCCTATAGCATGCCGTTGAAGAAAATACTTAGTGCCTTGTGCATATCTAATTTGTGACCAATTCATTCTCAGTTGTGCACCAATTTAACATGGAGACCAACTTAGCGAGGTGAAATCCGTCAACATAGTATCAGTTTTTAAAACTTGAAATATCTTTTGGTCCAGCCTTCTAATGTTGCATTTCTTTTTCTTTCATTCATTCATGTCCAATTCTTAGCCCAGACAAGTCCTTGCAATTTCCTTGGCAAGGTCTTTCAGAAGTGGTTTGCCATTGCCTCTTCCTAGGGCTGAGAGAAAATTATTATCTCAAGGTTAACCAGTTGGCTTTGTGCCCAACACGTGACCAGAACTCACTGTCTCCCAGTTGCTAGCCTGGTGTCTTAACCACTACACCAAACTGGCTCTCTAGTGTTACTTACCTCCTGTCAAAAAGAAGAAATACATTGTCAGATGAAAGATGCCATAGGATTTTGCAACATTTATATATACTGAATGTGGTCAAGCTTTGGTCATACTTAGAGCCAACCTACTGAAATCAACGGAAGTCTGATTTCTCTCTTTAAGTGCAATTAATCCCTAATCCCAAGAATGGCCATATCTGGCTCCAACTTGCAGATGAAATACAGCAGGAATTCCCAAACTTAAGGGGCAACTACAATGTCATAAGCTGCTTACAAGAAGAAAAGCTGGATTTATAAATGTCATTGCAAAATCGGTACAGTAGACGAGATGAAATTGACTTATGATACAGAATGTCAAGGCAATCAATATTTGGGATTTGGGGAGCATGCCTTGTCTGCTTTCACAAAAATACATGTCAGTGTGGTTCAAATGATTATATAAACATCATTGCATCAAAACAATGTGATGTTTGTACAAAAACACAGTAATAAAAAATGAAATAGAGGGCACAGCAAGAGACTAAGCACATATTTAGCTAAAGCTAAATTAGCAAAATTCTTTCTTACCATTCCTTTTGTGTGAAAAATCTCCCCCTCTTGCTTTATTTTTGAAGAATATTCAAAAGTGAAGCCCAGAAGACATCATGGAAATAGAATGTATAATGCTGCATGTTGGTATTTTGCTGTGCAGTATACTAACTTCTACTTGCTTATTTATTCTTAAGTATTTATTTTTAATATATTGAAAAGTAGGAGCACCTTCCCCGCTACCCTCATAGTAATACATTCCTACCCTTTCTGACCAGCAAAAAAACGTTTGTTCTTGTCATCATCTTTATCTTAATTATGGTGTGTCACATTTCTCAGACAAGAAATGTGTTCATTGCCTTGAGCTCTGTTGGAGGAAGACTGAATTTTGAAATGCAAATACCTGTGCAGTATTTAAAAGAGCACATTGTCAGATATATTGTCAGATATATCTTTCTCTCCCTCCCTCCCTTTCCTCCCACCCTCTCTTTTTTCAGAATTAAAATCAGGGATCCAACCATGAAAAGTCAGTCTACTAATTTCATTAAGTCATATTGGGTGTTATTTATGAGCTTTCTTTGTTTTATTCCCCACAAAAATACCATTATTTGTGGGTGTTTTGTATGGGAAAAATTAAAAAGAGGTTGAAAGAGAGAAAAAGGTTTTTCTTTTATGATGTTTCATAAATGATGTTTATGATGTTTCATCATATCTTTTATGATGTTTCTACTTCCTCAGGTCGACAGGAAACTACCACAAACTCCCATAAATATTTATGGCATTCAAATGTGAATTTTAAATCCCTCCTCCTGTAGATTATTTGGTTTGTAAAGATGTATCTTGTAAAACACCTGACTATAACAAAGAAAATATATATTTAATTATTCATGTATTAACAGCAGCTAGAATTGTATTTGCACAATACTGGAAAAGTGAAGAGATTCCTACTGAAGAGAAGGTGATTAGGAAAATATTAGAATGTGCAGAAATGAACAGACTAACACTAGCAATTAAGGAGAAAGAACAAACTAATTATTATATGATATGGGAAGCATTTTACCAATGGTTAGAGAATAAAAAAGGAAATTGGAATTAAAGGAAGAAGACAATAAAAAGAATAGAAAATACGTTAAGATTGAGATAAGAATAAAATGGCAATTGATAACATGAGTATGATGAGAATAACCATGTTTAATGTTATTATTGTAAGATACGTTATGAAGGAAATGAAGAGTTACACAAGGTATAATTGTTCAATATATATAATTTGTGGAAGGATGTTGCACAGAAATATTTGTACCCAGATGACACACTGCTGAAGGAGAGATGAAATGTTTATATTTTTAAAAAATGGAAAATAAAAAACTTTAATAAAAAACAAAAAAGGCCTGACTGACAAACTTAGAGGTAGATTGTCATAGAGAAAAACTATTTATATGGTTACTAGGAGTCAAAAATGGCTTGAAGGTGTATAATCTATAATCAATCCTGTAAAAAAAGAAATGTTGAAAAATTCTCCTCTCACTGTTTTAGAGGAAGAGGATCATATGGCAGGAATAATCTCTCATACTTTTTAAAGTGCTAAAAGTCTTCTAAAATTCAATAAGGATCTTATAATGTTTTTTCTGTGATGTATTCCAGGCTCTGAAGTTGCCCCAGAAACATTTTGAAGCAAAACTATCCTTGGATATTTTATAGCCTTCTCAACGCTTTATTAAAGGCACGGAAATATCATTTTTCAACCATACTTAAAACTCTAGTCTAGCCCCTTTGAAGAAAAGCAAAGAGCTACATTTCTTTATGTGTACGTATATATGAACACACTGTTTTCACAGCAGTTGAGTTTATCTCTTATTTTTCCTCTGGCAGGTTAAGGGGTTCTACTATGAGATAGGTTGGGCCCGGGGTGGGTTCTACTTACCTTTACTACTGGTTCGCAACGGGAGCACAGGCACGCTTCTGTGCATGCGCAGCTTGTCAATTATGACATCCGGGAGGCTCCGCCCACCCACCGCTTTTACTACTGGTTCTAAAGAACCGGTCCGAATTGGGGGCAACCCACCACTGGTTGGGCCACACAAAGGAACAAATGTGCCAAAAATACCTATTGAGCTACAGATTTCTGTGGCTTCTGCCATACTAGACTGCTTCTCCTTCCTTTTTAAGTGTGAGTTTATGCAAAAGAATAAATCCTGCATATTCTACACAGTCTATATTCTACACAGTCTAAAAGTTATTGTTATGAACAATTGGTTTTTATAATAATTATCTCCATATCCTTTATCGAGCAAGCTTTCCTGACATATATGCTATACACACTGTTGAAGCCAACATTATTTAGAGCAAAACTCAAACACACTCAAGAAAATATGTGTCTTAATATTTCTCAAGTGATTCTGTCTCAAAATTGGGGATAGAATGAGCAGATGTTACAATCTAGAGGATTCTGAAATGGGAATGGTTTATGAACTTTTAAAGCTCAATTTAGTTTGGGATAACATACAGAACCTTTCCAAACATTTTGCTGCTATTCTAGTGTCTTGGCTTGCTTTCAGAAAATTGATTGCCTTTGCAGGTTTTAGAAGCATTAACAATGAAAATAAAGCAAGGAGTGGTGCAGTGGCCTATAGGTGGAGCTCTCTCCTCACAATCAGGAGGCTGTGAGTTTGGTCCTAGGTAGCGGCACATATTTCTCTCTCTGGGCACAACGAGAAAACATCTGCTGCGAACTCTGCATTGACAACAGGAAGGGCATCCAGCTAGTAAACACTCAGCTCCATTCAGTTGCCCTGACTCCACCCTGATGCAAGAGATTACGGGCTCATTAAAAGACATTAAAAAATCAATGAAAATAAAGCACACAATATGTACACCCCAAACTCATATGCAAACTCTTCCTGAGGAGAGTTCCATGAAAATCGTGGATAGAAATACTAAAGAATGAAATCTTGTTCACAGATTGCCAATTAAATCACAGCAGACTCTATTAGCTGCCATGTCACAGAAGTCCATTCTGGCATTTGATGCAACCTGTTTTGATTCCTGTTCTGTTCCTCAATGTGGTGCTATTGCTCTAAAAATAGCTGGAAAGGTCTGCCCAGAGCACTTGTAAATTGCAGTTTAGAAAGCAGTTTAGGAATCAACAGTTGGAATGATAGTACTCATCTAATGTTTCCACATCCAGACTGAGTCTCTTAAGAAGGAGGGGTACCGTAGCTTCTTTCAAGACTGTCACAAAGCATTGTCAACCTCTTGCTGAACCCATCCAGGGGTGAAATTCAGCAAGTTCTGACAGGTTCTGGAGAACCAGTAGCAGAAATTTTGAGTAGTTTGGAGAACTAGCAAATACCACCTCTGGCTAACTACAGAGTGGGGTGGGATCGAGATTTTGCAATATCCTAGCCCCAGGAGTGGGGAGGGAATGGGGATTTTGCAGTATCCTTCCCCTGGAGTGGGGTGGAAATGGAGATTTTGCAGTATCCTTCCCCTGCCACGTCCACCAAGCCATGCCCACCAAGCCACGCCCACAGAACCAGTAGTAAAAAAATTTGAATTTCACCACTGATCCCATCCCCCAAGTTCCTAAAGAAATCAAGAGGGTGAGGATCTAGCTTGCAGATGGCTGAGCTCATTCTAGAGATAATAGATGGATTCACCCAGCAGATCACTGAGAAATCTTCAAGAGTACATCATAAACCAACCAGATCCATAAATTCCCAAAGACTCTCATTCTTATGCTTTTGAGCTAGAAATAGGATATATATATTAAAAAGAAAAAGAAGGCAAACAAAATTCCTGCAACCTTCAGAGCTCTCTTGAGCCATTTATTTATTTTTTCTTCCAGAACGTGAGTATGGCTATCTAATTATTAGCAATTATTAGCATCAGAGAACCAGGGAAATGGCAATTCAAAGGTGAAAGTGCAGAATTATTCATACAGTATGTTCATTATTAATTGGATGGATCAGTCCTCACATTGCAAATAAATTCTAGGTATGCAGAATGATAGGAGCAGGTGTGAGTTCAACTTTTGTTCAAAAGAATTTCACTTTTTATCATCTTCTCAAAGCAGCCTAATTCCTGAACATCTGTCATTTGTCATTTGCCCTTTGCCTAGTAGAACTCATGTCTGCATGCATGTGCATATGTCTCCACCTGTGCACCTGTAAGAGAGAGAGAGGGGGGAGGAAGGGAGAAGGAGAGGGAGAAGGAGAGGGAGAAGGAGAGGGAGAGGGGGAGAGAGGGAATTTTCAGTAATTTAGGATTACAAAGTACAAAACGGTTGGGAAAATTTTAAAATATCAGACAGTTATCAAGATTTACATCTTCATACTTAAGACTCTGATTTCTCCACACACTGTTCTGCCCCAGTTACAGACCCCAAAGAACACAGCAAACACAAACTCTGAACAAAACTTAGTTTACTCAAATAACGCAGTTTTAGCAAATCCCAGCTGTTAATAAGCGTTCTTAACAGCCTGCCAGAAATTCCACAGATAAGATAGTCAGAGTCTTACTGGAGTTGGCAGAAAGCCCAGAAGCAAGGTTGCAGAGAAATCCCAAATGCAATGATTAGTTGTTTCCTGCAGCTTGTTGCAAGCTGCATTCTTTCTTAAATAGGCTAAGGGAGTGGCCAATTAGCCCCAAGCCTTACTCTCGAGGAGACCTCCTCCTGAGGAACCACTCCTGCCTTTTGGCAGCTCTGCGTGCCCGTGCATTGAGAAGAGGCTCCTCCTCTTCATCCTCTTCACTTAAATGAGCCTCTGGAGGTTCTGAAGGCCCTGACTGGATCTCTGCCTCTGGCACCACATCCTCTTCAGCCTCCTTGCTGTCTGACTCGAGCACTGGCTGCACAGGCTGCTGGCGCAGCACCACACCAGCCTCCTCGTCATCAGGATCAGCAACAATCCGTGCAGGCCGCTGGAGGGCCACAACACACACTTTCCTTCAAGCAAAAATAAATATCTCACAGTTCCTGTGGGTAGGGTCCAGTTCCTGAAACAATTTCATGCAATGGGATTCAATATCCAATGTCATGATATTGGTGAAAATCAGTTACATGATTTCTTGCAATTTCGGGGCAGAAAACACATGGAATCTGTAGTAGATCCTCCAAATAGGCTCAATGCTGTTTAATAAATAAATAAATAAACAAAATGAAAACATTTCCCCATAAGGAACTCAAAAAATTTATTCCTGTCCCACCCACAATTTGTGTAGCTCATATTATGCCACCCATATGAAAGTATGAAGCATTGCCTGAACCTCAGACTTGGTCTATCTTGTTTAGATGTCCTACTTTTGAGTTTTGTAAGCACAGTGAAAGGAAATGATCATCATTCACAATGTAGTTCTAGTTTTTCAGAGGTCCTTGATTAATCTATAGGGCTAATATGGGACACAGATATCAAATTTGATCTATTTCCTTTTCCTGTATTCAGTATAACACAAACGTAAACACACAAATCTATCATCCATCTATCAACCTCTCTCTTTCTGTGTCTGTCTATCTTATCTATTTATCTATCTATCTATCTATCTATCTATCTATCTATCTATCTATCTATCTATCTATCATCTATTTATCTATATCAGGGGTGTCAAACTGAAGGCCCACAGGCCAGATCTGGCCCGCAATGTGGTAGGATCTGGCCCGTGTGGCTGTCCTTGAAATTGTAAGGGTCCAGCCCGCATTGCTTCACCCCGGCCCATGCTATCCTGGCATGCACATGTGCACACAGGAGGCGGTGGGTGCATGCATGCAGAGGCCCAGCCTACCTCCTCCTGGTGTCGCAAAGGAGGCGATGGATTGGCATTGCGTCGTCTGTTGCTCACCCCTCAGCTGCCTCCTCCTCTTCCTTGTGGTTCAGGAGTGAAGCCTCCACTGCCACCACCGTCAGCAGCCCGCTCCCCCAGGAAGCAGTGGCTCCATGGCTGCCCCCCTCCTCACTGCCCTCACCACCCCAATCCTCGACCTGGGTAGCCAGCCCATCTCTCCGGCCACTGCTCTTGTGCTTTCCCACCTGCTCTGCACCCAGCAGCTCCCCACTCAGGAAGATGGTGAGGTGGGGTATGCTGCGGCCACTAGGCAGCCCTGGGGCTACAACTGGAGCAGGCGTGGAGCAGGCTGAGAAGCGTGAGAATGGAGGCTCACATGCAACTCTTCTGAGAGCTCATCAAACCGGAGGGACTGTCCTGGCTGAGTTGGTGGGGAGGGTGGGGAAGGGGGGATGTGATTTTGTACACTTATAAGCAGTCATAATGGAATCTGAGCCAGCAACAAACAGGACGTGGCTGCGAAATGCAGGTTTAGGTTACATCAATCAAAATGCAAGCTGGAAATTGTTGGAGGAGACCTGGCCCACCCTTTGCCCAGCTGCCCAAATGCCAGAGGGGCAGCAGCTAAGAGAGGAGAAAACAGCACCAGGGAGGTCCTTCTCAGCAAGCCTTGCAAGGTGGAGGAAGCCCCCTTCCTTCTTGGTTCTGCAGAGAGAGTGGGGTGAAGGAAGGGGCACCTGCAGGCTCGCATGAGAAGCTGCCATCATGCTCCACCCCCCACCAACACCCCCTCCCCCAGTCCTTCTGTTCATGGAGCGCTTCATGGCTGCCTTCGCCTTCCTGGAGGGCAAAGTGGACAAGACCCTGGCCCGATGAGGTATCTTGGGTGGAGACCATCTGGTGCAGCAGCAGGCCCGGCACTACCACTGCTCTCAGAGCTGCAGGGGCTGGTAAAGGAGCTGTCCAGGTGGGGGGGGCATGGAGGGGCAATGGAGGAAGGGGCTTCACGCAGGGCAGCAGGAATGGCCAATGGGCGTTTCGCTCACTCCGCCCTGGACTCCAGCCCCATCCAACCACTGGGTTTTCCCCATAATGTCCAGCCTCCCCCACTGGGAGGTGGGGAGGCTGAGAGACAGCCACCCAGAAGCCCAAAAGATGGGATAGTTTGTGGGGCACAGCAAGTTCCTGCCTATTTGGAAATTAGCCATTCACATTCAGGCCTCTGAAACGGGGGAGGCAAATTTAAGGAAGAGCAGCTTCTGGAAAACCTAATGTGATCTTTTCCCAAAAGGCATTTTTTAAAAAAAAATCTCTTTGGCCTCCCTTGCCTCTCCTTTTCCATCTTCCTTTCCCCCTCCCTCCTCTTTTTACCTTCTCTTTCTCCCAACATCCCCCATCACCCTCCCCTGATCCTGGCCCTCCCATCCTCCCCTTCAGCCTGTCCCTCTTGCCCTCACCCCCACCCTAAATCTAACCCAAACTCTCACCCTCACTCACCCATCTGAGAGGGGGTTACAAAAGGAAGGAAGTTTCCCAGGTGTCCAGGAGCCCCACTGAAGAGCAGCTTATCTCTAGGAAGGCATCTTCCCTCTGATAGCTGATAACTGACAGTAACCAACTCTTTAGACTGCAGGGATGAAGGACTTCCTTCTCCTCCTATCAGAGGGCTCCTGCTCCTCCACGTTTGTGACCTACACCTGTGCAACACAAAGTTCTCTAAGAAGCTACCAAACTGATCACTAAAGCTAAAAAAATTGTCATTTTTTTTGAAAGTTAGCCACAATACTTTGGATGTGGATCACCTCTTGCTATAGATCAGGGGTGTCAAACTCAAGACCCTAGGGCCACGCCCATTTGGCTGCGACCACCCCAGCCACACCCCTCCCCCCTCTACCCACCCCCCCAGAGTACAACCACAATGCTGATCCAGCTCTCAATGAAATTGAGTTTGACACCCCTGATCCATGGTGGTGCAGTGGTTAGAAGACAGTACTGCAGGGCTAACTCACTGCTCACTCCAGGAGTTCGATTCTGAGCGGCTCAAGGTTGACTCAGCGGCTCAAGGCTGACTCAGTCTTCCATCCTTTTGAGGTCGGTAAAATGAGGATCCAGATTGTTGGGGGCAATATGCTGATTCTGTAAATTGCTTAAAGAGGGCTGTAAAGCACTGTGAAGCAGTATATAAGTCTAGGTGCTATTATTTATATCTATCTATCTATCTATCTATCTATCTATCTATCTATCTATCTATCTATCTATCTATCTAATCTTTAAATGACTGGTAGCTGAAGTGTGAATAACACCAGTCATTTGGTTGACCTCACATATGCTTCTCCTGGCTTTGGCCTAATGTGGTAAGTTAACTCAGCTATACATCTGTAAACTGTGGTTTAGGGCTAAAGATTGTACAATCCAATCCAACCATGGTTTTATTCAAACTCAGCCAACTATGGCTTACTCCTTAACTAGGTCATGGCTTGGCACAGCTGGCATGAATACACTCTCTGTATTTGTCATTTCTACCTCCAGATCTCTAGTGGCCTCAATCAAGACATGAAAATGTGTATCTGGTGCAGTGAGTAGCATTTTCTTCTAATTTTATTGAGCAAAAGAATTAGAGTCCAATGGTTTAGGACCTAGATAGCGACGTGCCCACCATCCTAAGAGCCAAAGTTTTCTGCATGTATGACTTGTGTTCTACAAACAATCAGGCTTAATGTTATTGGGTATAAACTCCATAAATAGATATAGGTTCTACTACTGGGTTAAAGAGAGAATTCCGCATTTGTGTCTTTTGGTTTCTAAGCATTGTAATTTCCATCTCTGGATTTTCTTTCAAAGGAAAAAGACATTTCCAAAGGGCCATCCAAAGCTGCTGCTCCTGGTATCATCAGTATAATTTTACCTGAATACTTTAACCAGAGTGAATGGGTGATGCAACATGCTAAAATATGGATGTGTTAGCGTTACCTCTTTTTGTTTTGTATTTCTGATTAATAATTGTAACAAATGACATCAGACCTCCTGACTGCTGCATCAATATAATATTTGTTACTGGAACTTTTTTTAAATAAAAGTTAAAGCTCAGTTATTTAGTATGAATAGGCCAGATTAACGTCTTATATACCGTAGATCAATTTATTTTACAATGGTAGTTTTTCTAGGAAAACCATAATTTTGCAGTCATGATGGGACTGAGGTCTTGGTTTGTACATTTTACAGCTGGACTCAGTAAAAGCATTTTGGAAGGATTCGTGGAAAATAAAGAGCAAATGTTAAATCCCCCACTGCCATCAGTCTAGTAATATACTAATCTTGCAAAAGCTGAATTCCCTAAGCAGCATGGAAGAAAGAATCAGTCCAGCTGCCTCCTTAAATCACACAGGAAAGCCTTTATGATCTAATAAAAGAAGCAACAACAATAGTGTTAGATTGTACAATCATGTCAGTGAATATGGCAGTGATGAAATGTGGCTATGTGTCTTCCCAGCAATGAGATCACAGTCTTTTTTTTTTTTTTTTAATTTGATTTATATGCCGCCCTTCTCCAGAGACTCAGGGCGGCTTACAATGCGCTAAGCAATAGCCTTCATTCTTTTGTATATTTATACAAAGTCAGCTTATTGCCCCCACAATCTAGGTCCTCATTTTACCTACCTTAGAAAGGATGGAAGGCTGAGTCAACCTTGAGCCTTGGCGAGATTCGAACCTGCAGTAATTGCAGGAATCTGGTCTTAATAACCAGCTTAATAACAGGGTGCCTTAGACCACTGTACTACCAAGGCTCTTCTTTCCACAGCCTCTGCTTTGGGGCTGTTGGGATCCACAAAGTTAATACAATGTGTAGGTATTGAAGATCCAAAAGTGCTTTTCCAAAAGACAACTGGACTTTCTTGATTTTTTTTCCCCTTGAAAATGTTTCATTTCCCACCTAAGAAGCTTCTTCAGTTCAAAACTTCTTGGAGGAGCCACGGTGGCACAGTGGTTAAAGTGCAGTACTGCAGGCTACTTCTGCTGACTGCCGGTTGACTGCAATTTGGCAGTTCAAATCTCACCAGGCTCAAGGTTGACTCAGCCTCCCATCCTTCTGAGGTGGGTAAAATGAGGACCCAAATTGTTGGGGGCAATAGGCTGACTCTGTAAACCACTTAGAGAGAGCTGTAAAGCTCTGTGAAGCAGTATATAAATCTAAGTGCTATTGCTAGTGCTATGAGAAGCAAAACATTTTCAAGGAAAAAAAAAACCACAAGAAAGTCCAGCTGTCTTTTGGAAAAACACCTTTGGGACAACCATGACCTGAACGATTGAGAATCTCTGTAGACATATTGAAGGCCTGGCACAAAAAAATGGAATGGTGTTCCTCACTAGATGGTGTACTTCTACTACTTTGCATTAGAGTCCCCAAGAGAGAGTCATAAGTGAAGCTCACACATTGTAAAAAGCCATGCTTTCACTAGCTGTGGTTTATTTAAAAGTTTTACATCTCATCTGCATATGAGCTGACCAGTAGATGACTTGATCAAAGTCCACCAAAAGGAGAAAAAAAAACCCTGCCAATGTGTGTTGTCTTAACATACAGCCATGTGAGGAGAAATAAGCTGAGGATAGCTTCCAAATAGTGCGTTCTTTACCAACTGAGGTCAGAGAAGTTACTCCCAGACTACAATCCCAAATGGGCTGGAGTGAGAGAGTTGATACATCTGCTTCTGGAAAAAAAAAGGAGAGGGGAATGGCAAACAGCTCCCAGATATCTTGGACAGTGTGGGAGAAGCCAGAACATCTGGGAAGTGTCTAAATAATTATTGCCAAACAAGCTAAATCAGTCTAAGCCACAGTCATCCATGCAGCAGCCAACTGTAAACTGCTCTTTGTTGCATCTATTAACTACAAGACAGTGTCCAGCTTCGTTGGTGAAATCTGACAGACTTTAGTTGAAACTCAACAAAGCAATTTCTCCCTCAGAAAAGGGACCTGCTTCAAAGTGAAACTGGGCGATGCCATCAAGAAAAATAGACAGGGGTGACAGATAGATGTTAAGGAATTCCAGCCAACTGTGGAGGGTGGAGTGGTCCGAAGACCCAAAGTCTTACAGCTCCCAAAGTACTGCAGATACTCGGCACTTTTCTGAATGGGTCTTTGACTTGGATTCAAAGGCAAAGTGGTGCTTTGGAGCACCCATGGAGTTCTTTGTCAGCAGTTCCTTAAACCGACCATGTGTTTTTCCAGCCGCGAATATTCAGCTGCAGTTGCCAGGGACAGCCATGATAGCCCAGGACAAACTCAGCTGCTTTTAAGGTGCTAAATAAATGAAGACATCCACGGGCTCCATAACCACTTTTCCTCTTTCAATCCAAAGCACAGCACAGACCTCGTGGATTGATTGCAGTGACAGATGGACGATACAGCATGGAAGCACTGGAAAATTCTCAGTATAATACACGGACAGCTGGATCCTTTAAAAGAAAGGTGGGGAATACACAGCTTTTCAAAAGTTGCTGAACTACGGATCCCAGCTCCAGATCTCAGCCAAAATGGTAGAGTAAGAGGGTTACAGGGGTCAAATTCGTAGCTATGTCGGAGTTTCCCCAAGGGACCCCATCCTCTGCTATGTTAGCAGAATGGATGGATTCAGAGGCACGTGGGTTGTAGCATGCAAGGCACTAGGAAAAGCAAGAGAGATCCAGAAAAAAGCAAGCAGACTGAAAGAGAGCCCTTCAGAGAGAGTTCAAAGAAGGCATTACCTGTCCACAAAATACTTAAATCTCAGACAGCCCTGTAAAAAGTTAGGCCCCAAATATATAGATCCTTTCCCCATTGTGCGGATCATCAATCCGGTGACAGTAGAGCTACAGAAGCCAAGGAGTCTTAGATGGGTCCATCCGGTGATCCTACCTCCAAATCTCAGCCAAAATGGTAGAGCAAATGAACAGGAAAGCCCAGATCAAGAGAGCTAATAAAGTCCTTACCCCCTTTAACATAGGGCAGCATGGTTAAGATGCTGGGCTTGCTAGATAGAAAGCCAACAGCCCAGGTTCAAGACTAAGCATCGTACAACGGGGTGAGTGCCTGTCTCTGCCTAGCTCCTGTCCACCTAGCAGTTTGAAAGCATGGAAATGAAAGTAGATAAATACAGTAAGTACCACTTCAGTGGGAAGGTAACAATGCTCTATGACACCTTGGCTCCATGACTCCAGAAATGTCTTCAGACAGTGCTGGCTCACGGCCTTGAAACAGAGATGAGTGCCATCTCTTACTCAGAGAGTCAGCAACAACTAGCAGAGTAAAATCCACAGGGACTCCTTTCCTTCCTTTTCCTTCCTTAACATAAACTCTAGATCTAATCACCCCCACAGGCCGGATTCAGCTCATGGGCCTTGAGTTTGACACCCCTGATCTAACTGATCAAGCCATGATTTTGTGATGTAAAATCCCATTTAGGAGCTGAAATTTACTTACTTACTTACTTACTTACTTACTTACTTACTTACTTACTTACTTATTTATTTATTTATTTATTTATTTATTTATTTATTTATTTATTTATTTATTTATTTATTTATTTATTTATTAAAGGTATATAACTGCCCAATTCACAAATCAAGCAAT